AACAAATGTCCTCTGTGGAAGCTTGCAGACAAGACCGTACCGTAATATCTGCCTTAATTTTGTAAGGGTGCCTTCCAAAATAGAATACTTCCTGAGCCATGGAGGGGGAAAATAACTCAAGTGGACATCTTCCCAAATGACTGAAGATTTGCAACCGGGTTAAGGGAGTGCTGTTAGGTAGCTAAAGCAGGGACCAGGGGTGTCTACTGAGCATGCTCCAATTCAGGCCCTGGAGCCAGGAAGGTGGTTCACTTGGGTGGGCCCAACTAGGCCAGGTGGGCTGAATTCAGCCAACAGAGTAAACCAGTATGATCAACCACGCCTCCCAGTGGAAGGCCCTAAAAGGCCGGAACCTGGAAGCCACCACCCTCTTTTTCCAGCTTCCCCTTGGCCTTCCACTCGGCCATGCCCAGTCTCTCTCGGGCCTCAGGCAGGGGGGGTGCAGTCCCGTGTTCAGTGACTATAAAACCTGACACCTCTTCGAGCCTTTATTAAAAAAACCCACCTGGATCTGTGGCCTGAATTCTTTCTCGTGAGAAGCCAAGAACCAAAGTATTTCCCACCTGAGAAATCTGACCGAGCTCCCCCACATGAAACACCAGTTTTAGATGGATCACCTGGTAAAGGGCGGTCAGGAAAACACCACAGATAAATTCAAGGCAGAGGTCAACTCAGAAGGTTACATTGACTTTTGAGGTATCCCAAAAGGATATTCTTAAAATCTTTTCTTGAAAGAAAAGGGACAATCATGGAGAACAAAGCTTGACAAACATTGGAAACGGAGTCCGTGTGAAAAGGGCCAGGAGCGTTGTCCCATGGCATTTTGCCCATCCCAATGACACACTGCTCACTCTTCAAGGGCAGCAAGAGCTCTCCTCTGACGATGTTGCTAGACAACTTGACCCCTTTCACCTTGCACTCTGATTTTGCCCTTTAAACTTCTTTTTGTTCTCAAAACTCAAAGAACATTTCAAAGGAGAGCAGAACTGAAGGCCCTGGAGGATGGCAAAGCTCCATTTTGACCTGGTGGTGCCGTCACTTAAACACTGGGCTGCTAAGCGCAGGTGGCAGTTCAAACCCACCAGCAGCTCCGCAGGAGAAAGATGCGGCTATCTGTTCCTCTAACAGTTTAAAGTCTCGCTAAGCGTTGGATTTGGCCGTGATTTGGTTTCAGTTTTTCATAAATCTAAGATTACAAAAATCTGTGAGGAAGGGTTAAAGAGAGAGAAACGCTGCCTTTAGAAATATAGGCACCTCACTGGAGAATGGATTTAAAAACTTTAACTTCATTCACATCTTGCTATTTTTGTTTAAGAAAGGTTTATATTATTCTGTGTTTTTTATTATTATTTTGTTTAAGAAAGGTTTATATTATTCTGCGTTATATTATTCTACTTTTTAACTAATCCTTGGACATAGGTATACATTTGTGTATTTGAAGCAAATATTTTAAAAACAACATATGGGATATACTCTGACATATTCTACTTTATCACCTTCAATTTTATAATAATCTTTCAAGCAACTAACTTGGTTTTAATACTCACTTTAAGAACTAAAGTACACCTTCTCCAAGCCCTAGTATTCTGAATCTCACGTCATGTAAAAGCTGGACAAAGACGAAGGATGACTGGAGAAGAATTAATGTATTTGAATTAAAATAATTATGCAATTCTACTTATTCAATGAAAGAATATTGATTATACCATGGACTCCCAGAAGACCAAAAAAATCTGTCCAAGTAAAGGTACATCCAGGATGTTCCTCAGAAGCCAGGATGGCAAGGCTTCCTATCATGTCAGGGATATCATGCTTGGCAAAATAGGAGATCAGCAAAAGGGAGGAAGGCCGCTAAAGGCATGGATTGACACAATGGCTGAAACAACGGGCTCAAATAAAGGAAATGTTATAAGGTGGGGACTGGCCTGCAGTATTTCTTTCTGCTGTACCCAGGGTGGCTCTGATTGGGAACCGCCTTGATGGTACCTTACAACAATTTACTAACTGGTGATGACAGCTTGTATTGACCTATAATTTTATCATTATTAGCACTGACTCAGTGGAGCACGTGGAACTAATAGCCCCGATGCAGGAGAGGAACTCTAGCCCCACTTGTTAATTCTGACCTTTCAGACAAAGTAACGAAGGGCGCTTGGCCGGGTGTAGCATTCTCATGGTCGACCTGGGAAAGAGCAAAACCATTTCTAAGAAGCATGTCTAGCCTCTGGGTACGTTCCCTCTGGGTTGAAACTAAACACACTGCCGTACTATCGATTCCAATGCTGCTAGGTGACAGCATCCATGTGTGTCTGACTAGACCTGTGCTCCCTCGGGTTTTCAGTGGCTGGGTTCTTAGAAGCAGACCACCGGGGCTTTCTTTCAAGTCGTCTCTGGGTGGATGGAAACCTTCAACTCGTCCGTTAATAGTGATGTGCTTTACTGGTTGCACCACCAGATTCCCTACGCAGGAAAAGGGCCCCTCCACTCTCCACCACCACCACCTCCTTCATGGATGCACTCATGACCACTCTAGGGGCTGTTGACTAGGATGAACCAGACCTGCAGGGCACTGGAGTCCATGGTCACCTGCTTTTACCTCCTCCAGGAGCACTTGGTGACAGCACTGAGCACCCTCCGCCATGATGATGACTATTTACAAGGCTGCCCCCCCCCCCACCTCCACAGGTTCTGGGTCCCTTGTGAACAATCCTGACTCCTAAGCATTTCAAGAAGCTCTCAATGAACGTGGGCTGAATGCAATTCCAGGCCTTGCCAAAAGGCAGAAGGACAAAACTCTGAACTTGCTTCTTTATTCTGTCCTTTATGAGTCATGAGACATTGGTCGGGCCATGTGACCTCAATGGGTTCCATTTCTTATCTGCCAACCAACGTATCGTTTACATCAGAGGTTTGTTTTAGGAAGGATTTCAGAAACAGATGTAATGCTCCTGGTCCAGTCCTAGGCATGCGGTAGGTAGCTATCTATTATGGAGGAAGGCATTCTGGCAGCAGAGTGGGTTACACTTAGGCCACTCACCACAAGGTTAGCAATTCAAACCCACAGATGCCATAAGGGAGAAAGATGAGGCTGTCTGTTCCTGTAATATTTATAATTTAGAAGTCCTATGGAGGGGCTCTTATCTATCCTACTGGATTGTGTGTGTGTGTGTGTGAGTCAGAATCAACTCAATGGCAGTGAGTTTGGTTGCCAAGGGTCAACCTGACAGCAGACAACAGATCTCTTAGAATCCTTAACCTTAACCATAACCATAATCCTTAATCCATAACCAAAAATCTCTTGTAATTCTTTTACTGGTTTCCATGGCCACTCTACTCTTCACAACTCTTTCTTCTCCCCAGAGCCTACTAAAGAGAATAAACATCACTCAAGAAGAAAGTAAAGTTCCAAGGGCCAGAGGCACTTTCAATGCCTCTAATGCCAGTTTCAAAAACTTGCTTGTCATTCTTTCAAGGACTTTTAGTAAGGGTTAGAGGTTACTCTAATATGTATGTATGAAAGGAGAACAAGAATAAGCCATTAAATAACAAATAAACCAAGCAAGAAGAAAGAGAAGTAACTAGTATATTCATTGCCAGAACGCAAATCTGTCACTGTGTGGTTAAGGCTAAAGCAGAAGTTGTGTGCTTTGCAGACCAAATTTGCATAAATGGTACACCAAATATATACCCATTGCCAGTCAATCAATTTGGACTTACAGTGACCCTAGAGGGCAGAATAGAACTGCCCCACAAGATTTCCAAAGGCTGCAATTTTCACAGAAGCAAAGTACCCCAATTCTCTGCCACGGAGCATCTTGGGTTTGAAGAGTCAACTCTGAGGCTCGCAGCCCCACACTTAAGCAGTGTGCCACCCTCTGCTTCCCACCGGTGCTCTCACCTCACTGCCATCCAGCCAAAGCTGACTCTCAGTGATACAACAGACTAGGGTAGAACTGCCTCTGAGTTTCCAAGACTGTAACTTCACGGGAATAGAAAGCTTCATCTTTGGTAGTTTCAAACCCCTGACCTCACAGTGAGCAGCCCAATGCATACTCACTATGCCACCAGGGATCCTTCGCGAACTGATGCTAGAGCAGTCATAAAGAAGGGTCACAGGAAGTGACTCATCAGCCAGGGTGCAGTATAGCACCGACCAAATATACAACACGCCTCTGGTTCTTTAATGCTCCCACCTCCTGCCACTATCAGGACCCATGACCCCAGTTCTACCTTACAAATCCGGTTGGACCTAGGTATGTACATTGGTATAGATAAGAGTTCTTGACACATGGAATCCAGGACAGATTAACCCTCCAGGAACAGTAATGGAAGTAGCGATACTATAAGGGTAAACGGAAGGTGGGGGGAGAAGGGGGTGATAGGGGGAACTGATTGCAATGATCCATGTATGACCACCTGCCCTGCCCCCCCACCCAAGGGGATGAATAACAGAAACGTGGGCAGATGGTGTAAGATAGGAAAATAACAACAATAATATATAAATGTACCAAGAGGCCACAAGGGTGGTAGGATGTGGGAGGGAGGGAGGGAAAAAAGAGATGATACCAGGGGCTCAAGTAGAAAGAAAATGTTCAGAAAATGATGATGGCAAAAAGTGTGCTTGATAAAATTGATGTATGGATTGTTATAAGAGCTGCAAGAACCCCCAATAAAATGATTTTTTAAAAAAAGAAAGAAAAGTCCACTTTAAGCCAGCATGCGCAGCTGAAGGGACACTGGTGGATGGTGGGTTTGAAATGTGGGCTGATAACCTGTAGTCAACAGATGAAAGGTTTCAGCCCCCGAAACCCCAAGGGGTCGTTCGTTACACACTGTCACATGGGATCACTAGGGGCTGGAATGGACTCCATGACAGTGCACTTGCATTTGGAGGGGGGTGGGTGGCGTGAGAGGCGGTCCAGGACAGAGTCCTAAACATCAGTCATATTCTGTCGTCCTCATATGTAAGTGTCTCAGATTCACCAGCATGCTCAATTTACCTTTTCCGTGATATAAAAGTTGGAACTATCGGCATGCTGCAGTGCAAAATATTCATGGTTGGCAAGAGACCACCTGGAAAAGAGATACACAAACTGATGAGGAAAACAATCCTTGGGTCGTTTTCATTCGCAGAGCTTTATGGAGTTAGATGAACCCTAGGGTTCTGTGACTGGGTCGGAGCCAGTTCTAGCACACGGCACAATGGCTTTTCTGAAACGAAATGACATTCCCCATTTTTAAAACAATTTCTCTGCGACTAATCATTTCATATACAGGTTTTCTAAACTTATTCCAAACTCACTAAGGCTTCCCCAGTGAGCCACATGATTTTCATGAATGAGGAGGGCGATCTTAAACTAAAAGCTCTGCACTCCTTTTTCCTTTGAAAGAATGGATCTGAGAAGGAGTCAAGGGAAACCAGTAAAATTTAAATTTTTGCTAATGGGTAGTTTTGGTGGCCTCCATAGTCTACAACCCCCTGTTAGCACATGTGCCCCCGTCGTGGGATGTTCCAATTACACAAAAGGAATCTCACATGGATTTGAGATGAAACTGTAGTCACAGTTCTATTTAAAAGTCAAAATAAACTCCTGTGACTTGCCTATGCGCTTCTCCTCTGAATGTTGAAGCAGCCAAGTGAAGAAGGGAAGTCCCACCACGGATTTGTCTGTTTCCTTCCTCCATCTTCTCTCAGGACCAGAATGAGCCTCTGGTTCACCCGGGATGGCACGTGCACTTTCTCTCCCAAAAGCTAGGCTGCTTCCTGCGGGGTCCGGGGAATGGACCACTCTCTTTTTTTTTTAAATAAATAGGATCAAGCCCAATGTGCACGTTGCCCTACACCACATCACAGCCCCTGTGCCCACCTTGTTATGTGAGTGACAAAGGGTGTGTAATCTGATAACATTCTTGGTGATTTTGGGATGCTCAGGCAGTGACTTTTTAATACTGTCATGCTGCTACAAATATGCTTTGTAGGTCTCCTTTGTGGCCAGTACTCCGATGAAGCCCGAGTAACACTTACCCATCACAGACTTCCTTGATTATGGCAGACAGTGGTTTTTTCTGTAAAAATAGCAAAGAAGGAAATACTTTCTGTTAGTTTCATTTCATCATTTTCGTTTTTTAAAAAAGGAAGATGAACAAAAAGTTATGTATGTCAGAAGAATTTACATTTAGATGAGATTGTTTTTACTAATGATTTATTAACCTGATGGTCCTTTTTGTACGCTTCGCATTATTCAGTGACCAACATGTGCATCATATTGTACTTCCACGCCTCACTCACTGCCAGGGCATCAATTCTGACTCTTAGCACCCCTGCAGGTGAGAGGAGACCTGCCCTCAGCAGCCTTTCAAGGCTGGAAATCGTGATGGAAGCAGGCGGCCACTCTTCCTCCCGCGGAGTCGCTGCTGAGATCGAACCAAGCCCCTCTGGGTTAGCAACTGAATGCTTGACACCCCACCCAGGACTCCTCCTGGTGCTTCCAAATTGTTTTGCTGGCATAGAATTCACATGTCATGCAATGTAATCATTCGATCATCTTAATAAGAGTTGTGTAATCATCACCACAATCAATTTCAGAACATTTTCTTCTTTCTCCTTGTTATTGTCATGAGTTCCTCATCTCCCCCAACCGCTCCTGCTCCTGGGTGGTTATTAATCTAGTTATTTCTTGTCTCAGTAGATTTACTTATTCTGGATTTCATGGACAGAAAATCATCTGAAACACACGCAGGGAGGAAAAACAGAAAGGAAAATACACCCCTAGTAACAGTGACAAAGTACAACAGAGGAAAACCTCAACAGAGAAAAACAGCAGACAATACTAAAAACTCACAACAACTTTACAATGAGTCAAAAGGGAAATAAATGATAAGATGTTTCATTTTAACCTTACCACATCTGCCATCACTGATTTTGAAATACTCTCTGATAGCAAAGCTATTCACATCCCTGGACTGGTCAGAGAGAATTCACAGGAGGCTTAAACCATGTGGGGACCCGGCAAATGGATTTTAGGTTTCCATTGTCATCCATAGTCTTCTGCAAACTAAGTGTTCAGAATTTAAACTCTGATGCCATTCCCTCCTTCAGGTTTGGTTTTTAGTATTTACAATCTTTGGATCACACAGGTTGGTGTGCATCTTCCATGTGGACTTAGCTGTTGCCTTACTTGGATGGCTGCTTGTTTGAAGACAAACCTGTAAGACCTCAGACACTATTCTTTCTGTGAGCCAGGCACCATCTGCTTTCTTCACCACACTGTGCTACAGCACACATATCTTCAGTGATCTCTTATGAGGCTGAGCATCAAGTGGGCCCATGTCATAAGAATTGATTGTTTTTAGATGGGAGCTAGAATTACATGTACAACCAAAATCCATATATATTGGTTTATGAATCATATATTTCTGGTTTATGAATGTCACTGGTTCACTTTAGAGACATTAATGTCATTTTGAGACAGAGAACATTGCAAATCATCCCTCGGGCATAAGGTGATTCTACAGAGAGTGTCATTAATTGAGCCAATGATATCAAATTCAGAACACCGTTGAGTAAAGGAAACTCCCACATGGATCCTTGACTTGTATTCTATTTGTTTTATCAGCGTTACAACCAGAGTTAAAATATAATGTTGCACCAAGATCGGACGGGTAATGAACTCCAGCTAGGTTAGCTCATAACCAGAATCCTGCAGCAGCAGGACGTGAGCCAAGCAAGCAGCAGCTCAGTCTGACACAAACGAGCGGGAGTGTGTCACGTGTGTAAGAGAATGTGTGGCAAATGGAAAGTGAGCCGTTGCCAAATTGTTCCTACCAAGTGCACAGAGCTCTTCCCCCGAGCCACGACCCCTGAACATGCCAATCCCAAAGCAGCTTGACGTGGACACACTGGGCTAATGTGACCGTGACACCATGTGTCGTAGTGTCAACTGGTGGGCAGGCTACAGCTGTGCTCCTGCACCTCACTGCCACAACTGCGCCCCAGCCGCCCCAGATGGAAGGAATGCGGCTGGGAGACAAACAGGCTGGCCCAGAGATGTCGAAACTCTTTCTGCTCTAGATGCAAACTGACCCATCTGTTGTCTGAGGTGGGGGGAGATGTGTCCACCCAAAGAACAGATAAGAACTGCATAAGAGGAGGGAAAGAAGGAGAGAGCCGGATTGGACCCCACACCAGGCTAGAAGGATGACGTTCCTGGCGGGAGCTAATGGGACACAGAGGGGACTGGGCAACTGATAACAGCACGTGTCACACTGTCCCCTTACTAGAGCAGACTGAGACAGAGGACATTTCTGGGGTCACATGGTGGAGAGGCAGTGCGGTCTGAACCCCCCAAAGTGGACCCAATCAAGAATGGAGCACACCAGATCAGCGGCTGGAGCAAGGCAGAGCTACGAAACCCCTGAGGACCCCCAAGGGGCGTTCCAGGCCGGGAGGGGCAGCTCCTGAACAGTCTTGAAGGCCAGCAAATAGACCCGGGGTTTTTGTATATTTCTTCTCTCTCTTTTTATTTTATTTTTTCTTTTTCATTTACTATTTTCCTTGTTTTAAGTCAGTTTGGGCTATTCATAGTCGGTGTACCTACCTATCTAGGATAGGCATTGGAGGCATGCCCAAGGCGAGAGCAGCGGGACCAACGGTCCCAGGGAGACCTGGGAGGTGAGGTGGTGGGGGAAGGGGCGGTGAGCAGGCAGTGCCATGGACAGGGCAGCAACTGGGGTGTTGGAGTCAATAAAGAGGAGGAGACAGGGATCCGAAGCAGGGAGTCGGAGGCCGGGGGTGGGGGTGGGGGTGGGGGAGGGGTGGGGTGGGGTGTCGGAGCAACAACAAACTGGCTGTGAGGAGGTACCAAGAGATAGAAATAAGGGAAAAGTGGAAGTGGGGCAGGAGGAAGGTAAAAGGAAGCAGAGGAAGCACCAAGGAAGCAAAGCAATGGATAGAGGTATAAACACAGCAGTGTACACATGGAAATACAGTAATCCACAAAAATAGAGGCATTGACCCATGTATATATATTTATACGGCAATACACTGAGGTTGGGGACGGGCTTTGGCCTCTGCCTCATACCCTCTGTCAATACAAGAACACTTTGTTCTACCCAATCGGCAGTCTGAGATGTTCACCCTCCCAACACAATCGCTGAAAACAAAACAGGTGCATAAGCAAATGTAGTGAAGAGGGTGGATGGTGTCCAGCTATTAAAAGATACAGCGTTTGGAGTCTTAACGACTTGAAGTTACACAAGCCGCCAGTCAGCAGTGAAGCAACAAGTCCACATGGAAGAAGCACACCACCGGTACGATCATGAGGAGTCATAGGGACCGGGGTAAGAGGCATCAGCAGACACATAACAAACAAAAACATACTGTTGAGAATGAATGGGGCTGGAGCAGAGGTCCAAAGCCCATCTGTAGACAGTGGAACAATCTCTCCATAGAGGGGCCACAGGGAGGGGATGAGTCACCAGGGTGCAGTAAAGCATTGATGAAACACACTCTATTCCTCTGGTTCCTTGAGGCTCCCTCACCCCCCACTACCATGACCCCAGTGCTGCTTCCCAGTTCAGACTAGACTGGAACATGTACACAGGTATAGAAAGGGATGGGAGCTTACTACACACAGAATCCAAGAACAGGAGTGAGAATAGTGATACCAGAAGGGTAGGGGGAAGTGGAGGAGAGGAAGGGAGAAAGAGGGACCCATTCACAATGATCAACACATAGCTATACACCCCTCTATAGGGGGAAGAACAGAAAACATGGGAGAAAGGGGACAGTGGTCAGTGTGAGAAATGAAAATAATAACAATGTACAATCTATCGGGGATTTATGAGGGTTGGGGGCAGGGAGGAAAAATAAACAGCTGGTACCGAGGGCTCAATAGGAAGTAAATGTCTAGAAGAGAATGAGGGTAACATATGGACAAACATGCCTGATTCAATTGATGTATGGATTGTGATAAGAGTTGTACAAGCCCCAATAAAATTCTTTTTAAAAAATGATGATCTGCTATTAAACCTTCACCCAATTCACAATAAAAAGGCTTTAATAAAAAAAGAGAAAGAAATGCATAAGGAAAAGAGGAAGAAAAGTCAATGAAGAAAAGTACACGGTCCTAGATTTTCAGATTCAACTGCAAGAGAACAATTTCCATAGAAACCCGTGCTACCCCTGCTGCTCCGAGGACAGGGTAGTGGCAGAGAAGAGACTCTGAAGCAGGCAGACTGCGTTCAAATCCTACCTCCATCAAGTCTTTTCAACTCCGACCTGTATTGTCCTTAGTGTGAGTCCCAACTACTTTATCTGTACAATGAGAAGCGTGCCTGCCCCCCCTTCACGGCTGTTATCAGAATAAAATAAAATGAGAATGAATGCAACAGGCCAAAGGCTCCACAGTAGGGCCCTGTCTCCTTGCAGTCACACGTCACAGAATGAGCTCCATTTCCACCTTACACACTTGTGTGTGCATCCTGTTGACAAATTCTGGACACGGCACAAGGAACTCAAGAAAACTCACTGTCATTGAGTCAATTCTGACACATAGTGACTCTATAGGATGGGTTAGAACTGTCCCTGTGGGTTTCTGAGACTGAAGAAAGCCTCAACTCTCTCCCGAAGAACACGGAGTGGTGTCAACCTGCTGACCAAAGAGTAACCCACTGTATCACCCTCCCCAGATCCTTGCTAGAAGCCCTCCCTCAGTCCTTGGTGCTACGCTGATGAACTTCCTTCCATTGGAACTCCAGCCCCTAGAGCTAAAGCCATTGCCTTGTGTTTAAAAGACTGACTGCCCACCAGGGTCAACACTGTCTCAGGCAGGATGGAGATGGAGGTGTAATTACCAAGGAGTGGTAACACAATGGTATTTCCTGACATCCGGAGTCAGTCTCCTTTCAAATCACATTAGAAATGCTGATTCGATTCTGTAGTGCGGTTACACATAACACAGATACTAGGCCTTTGAAACGGAGCTCTGGTGGTGTCGTTGTTACGCACTAAGCAGTGATCTGCATGGCCAGCAGTTCAAAACCACCAGTCTTTCTCCTCAGGAGAA